AAAAAAAAAAAAAAAAGAAACAAAAGAAGCAGAAAAATAAATAAAGAAATGACCTTTTAATGAATGTTGAAAAGTGATAATCATTCAAGCCAATCCGGCTCTTCAGAACAAACACTGTTACTAGAGACCCAAAACAGCTTTTGAGAATTCACACTCAGTCAATGACTGAAACCTTGATGATCTCAACAGAACCTTAGTACCTGAACTGTTTTATAAAATTAAAAACCAAATACAGACAAACAACTTAACAAAACGAGTTACACACGTAATCTGTTCTCAAATCTTCCGTAGTTATTAAGATCTGAAACAACGACCATATCTTCTTTAAGGCAACAGTAAATACGAGGCCTACGAAAAACGAACACGTGTGTAACACGCATATTGAATCACCAACTGCAGAAATCCCTAAGTCGCAAAGCAGGGTTCCTTTATTTATACCAGACACTTTCTTAAGCTTCTAGTGGGTATTAATTTTCACCATCATCTAAACCGCACTATCAGTCAACTCTTGAAATTTTGCTGCTATAGAAGGATATGCAGCTATAAGTCGCTTCATCTGCGCAAATTGACGTGTCATGATCGCCAACCTCTCACTCATCTCCTTATTCTGTTTCACAAGTTCTTTAATCTCTTCATTCTGCTCAGCAACCATCTTCTCATAACTCCACAATGCCATTTTGTTCTTGTAACGATATGCTCGGGCGTAAAGCGCCTGCTTCGAACGGCTCGTAATTTTCATTGGACGCCCACGTTTCGCCTGTTTTGCAGGAGGAGGGCCTGGGCTAAGCTCCTTCTTGATGTCTCGAATAGAGTTGAATTTCTTGATTTCCTCACTAAGGTCAAACTTCTTAATAGGTCTTCCAGGATCAAACGTGAAATTTCGTTTACTGTCCTGCTTCGACGGTGTTGTAGAAACACGTGAGTTATTCACTACATCCTTTGGCAGATCGAGTGAGCACAGCTCGTTACAATTAAAAGGTTTTTCTTCCAAGTGGTTAATCCCTGTTGTAAGTGAATTAGATGTCAGACCGATCTCATCACCAGGTAATGTCTGTTTAATACCTGCAGAGAGTTCCACATAAGATTCACTCGAAAAACAACCACAGTTGTAAAAAGGACCACTGATGCGTGTCTCAACTTCAGTGTACAACTCACCATTATTTAATGGAAAATCGTCTTTCAACCAGTCCCTTTCGTCATTTTCAAACGAAGCTAAAAAAGCGTCGTCGATATCTGGTGACGAACTTATATCGGCCAGAAACGGATCTCCCTTCATAACCGAACTTGGTGATACACAAGACCCAAAAACCTCGTCCTGACTAAGCATCATACCTGAAAAAACTCGCACTTACATCTGGTATATCAAAATCCAAAACACATTAAAAAAAAAAACACCACATGCAACTCGTAAATTAGTAAGTATTAAATAACAAAAGCAAATAAACCCGCTGCAACTTGAAAACAATAAGAATCCTCAAGAAAACAATGTTCCTACATTACAGAGCAAATATTTTAAACGCTAAGCAAACTGTCACTCAGCAATAAGGAAAATGATAACGTCTACTATCTCATAAATAAAATTTTCAAACTCGAGATAATTCGAGATAATCAAAGCGACAGCGATAACAAATGTGTCACCACAATTAAGAACCGAAGTTTGCCAACAATTAACTACCAATTCCGATCAAAATATTACAGTTCTACTAAACTGTTAAGTAGTAAACTAATACTCATCATCAATCTCATATTCACTTAGTCCAAATATTGCTGATTTAAAGTTGTCGTAGTATCTCCAAAAAAAATTCTTATCCATTGAAAACAATTTTACTCGAAAATGTAACAATAAATTCCACTGTTTCAAGCCAAAAAAAAAAAAATAAAAAATAAAATCAAACAAAAATAATACAAAGATTCTATACCACTGTAGGCAGAAATTAAAAAAATATACATATGTACATAAAATAACCTCTAGACCAAAAAAGGCACTGAAAGCGTCTCTAGTTCTTCTTGATGTTATAATTAACGACACAGATCACTGGCTCAACAGGTCAAAGCACAGAAGATTCCGACAAAGAAAGGACTAAACACAATTTACCTGTGACTGGCCAAAGAAGCAATGCAATGTGAATGACAATACAGGGCGTAATAACAAGTTTCTAACATATTATGGCGCAAAATTCACCCAAACTCGACCAGCCTTCGCCCTAGTAAACATAAACATTTCTATTCCATAATAATGTTAATAGAGCTTTAATATAGCATACAAGGCGACTCATTGTTCCTTCAATGAAAACAGAAGAAAAATGTCAATTAACTCCTCAGTTCAGCACAGTCTAAGGACACCTACACCCCGTGTTGAAATATGAAGCACTACTCTTCTTCCAAATCAAAGCTGTCGACGTGAAACTCAGCTCTCGCTGAGAGAGCAAACAAAATCTTAAAAAAAAAAAAAAAAACGCTAAAAGAAACATTTGAGTTTGAAGCACAGAAAAAATGATGCAATATTGCGCTGTTCATAAAAAACGCAACCCACCCTAACTAGAGCTCAAAACCGTACCTAGAAATGTATATGCAGGTTCTGGCTGTCACTTGACATATACAATGACCAGAGGCAAAAAAAGGGGTAAACAAAGAGCGAAAAAACCTAACATAAGGTAATAAAACTCTCATCCTTCAACGGCCGTCACAAGGTGACAATTACTAGCACTGACGATACCCCTTTTCAGCAACAGTGATCAACGTCAACAAGTTCATTAAAAATCAAAACATTCTTAATTATATGCAGACTATGTTCTCCACAACATCTGTCTACTTCCACAACCTGCCAAACATCTATCCCAAAAGTCACGAGAGTACGTGTACCTAACTGACCACTCACAACAAACAACACTACTAACATAAGGCGCCATTTTTAAGCGAACCACATTTCCTGCAACGGAGGTGGGACTTGGCACGGTTCCCGAATTTCGAAAACATGACGTCATTGTGGAAAATTGACATGATCAAACAAGCACTAAAGGCACTAGTAAGCAACGCGTCGAGTTTGGAACAGCCTCGTAAGACCAGCGTTTAAAATTGTCGGCTTTTGCAGCCCTATTGTCTTCATTTTTCAGCTATATATTTTCTAGTCTTCAAGATCGCATAATACGGAGCTTTGCTTGTTTCTTAGAGACGTGGCAGCCAAGTTGTTGCGCAATTTTGTGTGGATAATCCACGTCCATTGTGTATGTTAAATTTATAATCTAATAAGAGCAAAAAAAGAAATAAAGAAATGAAACTGTAAAAACTTATATAATGAGTAAACTCATAGCAAAATTTTTTTTTAGTTGTCAGAAAATTCAGATATCGATGACACTGATAAGTTTTGGCCCAAGGTTTTTCAAACGATTATCCGAGGGAGTCTGATTCTAAGCGGTTTAATACAGTTGATATCGCGCGCATTATAAAATTATTGCACAATGCAGTTAAAAACTGTTACACTTGTCCAGAAATTCACATTTTATTCAAAAAAAAAAAAAAATAACAAGTTCCTATTTCATCTTTTTTGTTCGTGTCCTATACTTACCCCTTTTCTTATACATAGAGAAATAAACGTTTAGGCACCAAAAATTTCCTGTCATTTGGCTTATATGGTT